GTCGCACGCTTGGAGCCGCACTCGTTGTACATCGCCGTGGCAGTGTCCGAGTTCCCCCCCTATGCCTCTGTGCAGATGGGTTCGATGGGCATAGTCCCGGTCCTTCTGTCCGATTCAGTATCTTTCCCCCTTCTCTCTTTCGCGCGTGCTCTCTTCTATTCAATGCCTAGCCTCTCTTTGTGTATATTATATATAGAGGCTTCTCTCTCTCTCTCTCTCTTTGGTTTCTTTTTTTATCTCTCTCTCTCTCTCTTTTTTCTCCTCTCTCTCTCTCTCTCTCTTTCTTTCTCTATATATATATATATATATGTACCTCTATGTTTCTCTCCCCCTTTCTTTCTTTCTCTCCATCTCTCTCCCCGTGTTGCTGGCAACTCCTTCCCGTTGCTTCTTCTGCGAATGTATTCCATGAATCTTTGTTTATAAATACGACTGTGTACATGTGGCAGCTGGAGAGGGGATGGGAACTGGCAGCCTGAGGATACCAAGAAATCGTCTTCGCTGTTACTGGAACTTTCCGCAGCATTCCAGGACGACTTTGCCACTGCGGCGATAGCACCTCTGTATCGGGTGTTGCGTACCCCTTGCCCAAGGTACCCCCAGGATTCTCCGGGTGGCCCAGACGGCCTCCAGGGCACCCCTCACGAGGCCCAGAGGACCCGAGGGGCTCAAAAATGGAGCGAAAAGCTGGGGGCATTTTGGGCTAGGGGCACTTCTAGCAACACCCGACTGTACTGCTTGCCATAATTGCGCGCTCCTTGCCAAAAGCTACCACGCTAAACCGCCTCAGCCGGTATGAGGCGAAAGTGTGGGAGTCTGCCTCAGGTTAAGTTTAAGCAGCGATTGGACAGGTGCAAGGTAGTCAGTGGAATGCACCGCCAGTGTTGCGCTGGATAGCAAAGCATTACAACGAACATCAGCGCAGCTCATTGGAGTGCGAACAAATTTGATGCAACGTAGTGCTCAACTGAGCGGAGCAAAGTAGCGCAAATGAATGTAATACACATGGCATCGGACGACGCGCAATGGAGTGCCAAGCTACCCAGCACAAAGACAGGGGTGCAAGGGCCTGCACGGGAACTCGGCTGACGGCAGCCAGCCGTGCGCAGGCGGCGGACCGACCGTGGGCGGTAGAGGTCCGAGGTGCGCTCTGGCCAGGGATCTCAGGACGGATCCAGCCGTGGCGACGTGGCGACGAGGGCGCCCAAGGAGGGCCAAGAGGGGCGAACACCGCCTAAAAGGACACCAACCTCAACCCGCGAGCCTGGATCCTCGACTTCGATCGGCGAACCTCGATCCTCGGGGAGCACGCCCTCCCAATCACATAAGAGGAGCGTGCCGTGCAGGCTCGAGCGGGCGACCCCCGAGCGGGCGGCCGGGGCGGAACGCTGCCCGTGGCCCAGCATCGGCCGAGGAATCGGCCGATATCGAGCGATCTGCGCCATCGGGAAGCCGCGGGAGGAGGGGGGGGAGGAGGAGGAGAAGGAGGACCAGCGTAAACCCAAGACGCATCAACGATGTTGAATTAGGCCCTCCCTCCAAGATCCCTATCCATAGACCCCTACAAGGGGTCATTCCAGTGAGGGAATCGCTCCGTTGGGGGACAACCCTGTTAACATTTTGAAGCGTGCCAAAACATTGTCTGCTCCGACCTTGGCGATCCTGAGTGGTGCCAGAACGCCGTTCCTGGGACCTCAACACCGCGAACCAACTTAATTGTTGCGGCCTGAAACGAACTCGCGCGGTGCGTGCTCAGGCGAGAGCCGCATTATGAAAAGGAACCGCCCTCAATCAGTGAAGCTCTTGTAGAATTTAAAACGAATGTGCGCAGCGCTAAACTAAGGCGAGAGACGCACGTTGAAAACCACCCGCCCTCAAGCCGTGAAGCTCCTGCAAACTTTTAATGTGCGCGGCGTTAAGTCGAGAGCCGCATTTTGAAGAGGAACCGCCTTCAATCCGCGAAACCGTTGCAAGTATTTCAGAATGAATGCGCGCGGCGCTGAAGCGATAGCCACGTTCTCAAAGCCTTCCGTTCTCAATCCGTGAAGCTTTTTGCACATGGTTAAAACGAATGCGCGCAGCTCGAGGGCGAAAGCCACATTTTCAAAACCACCCACCCTCCTTCTGTGAAGCGGTTGTCAAGTTTTACGCATCAAGGTCACCAGTGGTAAGGGAGTTTCGGGCATGCGAAACGCCCGGTCAGCCCTTTTCGACCGGCCTCGGGGTGCGACCGGCCTCGGACTGCGTGGGCCCCAAACAGTAGGCTCTTGCAGTCTAGGCGGTGCAACCGATGTGCTCCTGTAATGTAATCTATGCGGTGCAATCTATGTGGTGAAATTCGCTTTGACTGTCTTGAAGCTGTCCTCTCCACTGCTCGTGCAAACATCCCACCCTCCCACTCGCAACTTGATCGCAAGACCTCTTAAGACCGTGACGGTAGGTACCAGATGGCACTTGGCAACGACACTGACGCCGACGACGACAATGACACCGACGCCGACGACACCGACGACGTCTCCAACGACTTCGACGACGACGACAACGACGACGACGACGACGACGACACCGACCACGACGACGACGTCGCCGACGCCGACGACGACGACGACGATGACAACGCCGACGACGACGATGACGCCGACGACGCCGACGACGACGACGCCGACAACGACGATGACGACGACGAAGACGAGGACGACGACGACGTCGCCAATGAAGACGACGACGACGAGGGAGGAGGGAGGACGCCGACGGCGACAACGACGACAACGAAGAGGAAGGAGGGAGGACGGCGATGACGCGAACGACGAAGAAGGAGGGAGGACGGCGACGCCGTCGACGACAACGACGAGGGAGGAGGGAAGACGACGACGGCGACAACGACGACGACGGCGACGAAATAGGAGGGACGTCGACGAGACGCCGACGACGGACGACGACGACGAGGGAGGAGGAAGGATGACCACGGCGACAACGACGACGGAAACGACGACGAAGCCAAGACGACGACGACGACGACGACGAGGAAAGACAGAGGACGACGCCGGCGACGACGACGACGGCGCAAGAGCGCGCGCGCACGCTTTTGTTCAAAATCCGTGTTGCGAAACCGTGTGTTTTTTTCCCAACCATCCTGTGGTGTTGGGTCCTCGTTTTGAAGAGACGGTGCCCCGCGTCTCCTCCTCCTCTCCTCCTCCCCCTCCTCCTCCCTCCTCCCCCTCTTCCCTGCGTGCGTCCCGCACACCCATTACGGCACACCCCTCACACGTTTCGTGGCCCCACAGGGAGCTCCACCGAAGGCCCCATGGCTGCCGTCCGCATGCGTCCCGCACACCCATTTCGGCACACCCCTCACACGTTTCGTGGCCCCATAGGGAGCTCCACCGAAGGCCCCATGGTTGCCGTCCGCATGCGTCACGCACACCAATTTCGGCCCACCCCTCACACGTTTCGTGGCCCCACAGGGATCTCCAACCGAAGTCCCCAGTGCTGCCGTCCGCTGCGTCCCGCACACTTCCACACCCCATTTTCGCACACACCCCTCACTACGTTTTCGTGTGGCCCCTAAGGGAGCTCCACCGAAGGCCCCAGTGCTGCCGTCCGCATGCACACCCATTTCGGCACACCCCTCACACGTTTCGTGGCCCCACAGGGATCTCCACCGAAGGCCCCAGTGCGCCGTCCGCATGCGTCCCGCACACCCATTACGGCGACACCCCTCACACGTTTCGTGGCCCCATAGGGAGCTCCACCGAAGGCCCCATGGCTGCCGTCCGCATGCGTCCCGCACACCCATTTCGGCACACCCCTCACACGTTTCGTGGCCCCACAGGGAGCTCCACCGAAGGCCCCAGTGCGGCCGTCCGCATGCGTCCCGCACACCCATTTCGGCACACCCCTCACACGTTTCGTGGCCCCATAGGGAGCTCCACCGAAGGCCCCATGGCTGCCGTCCTCATGCGTCCCGCACACCCCCATTGCGCACACCCCTCACTACGTTTCGTGGCCCCACAAGGGAGCTCCAACCGAAGGCCCCCAGTGCCTGCCGTCCGCATACGTCCCGCACAAACACCCATTTTCGGGCACAACCCCTCACAACGTTTTCGTGGCCCCATAGGGAGCTCCCCTGCGAAGGCCCCTGGCTGCACGTCCGCATCGTCTCCGCACACCCATTTCGGCACAAGACCCCTCACACGTTTCTTGGCCCCACAGGGAGCTCCACCGAAGGCCCCAGTGCTGCCGTCCGCATGCGTCCCGCACACCCATTTCGGCACACCCCTCACACGTTTCGTGGCCCCACAGGGAGCTCCACCGAAGGCCCCAGTGCTGCCGTCCGCATGCGTCCCGCACACCCCTTTCGGCACACCCCTCACACGTTTCGTGGCCCCATAGGGAGCTCCACCGAAGGCCCCATGGCTGCCGTCCGCATGCGTCCCGCACACCCATGTCGGCACACCCCTCACACGTTTCGTGGCCCCACAGGGAGCTCCACCGAAGGCCCCAGTTCTGCCGTCCGCATGCGTCCCGCACACCCATTTCGGCACACCCCTCACACGTTTCGTGGCCCCACAGGGAGCTCCACCGAAGGCCCCATGGCTGCCGTCCGCATGCGTCCCGCACACCCATTTCGGCACACCCCTCACACGTTTCGTGGCCCCACAGGGAGCTCCACCGAAGGCCCCAGTGCTGCCGTCCGCATGCGTCCCGCACACCCATTTCGGCACACCCCTCACACGTTTCGTGTCCCCATAGGGAGCTCCACCGAAGAAGATATTCACAATCGCGGTACTCTCAACTGCATATGGTTGGATCCTTCGCCAGGCTAATTTGTATTTTTTGGGGACACTCGATTTTGAAGCCCTTCCGAAACCTAAGGTTTTTGACTGATTTCGGCATGCGCGCGCGACGACGCGCGCGTGTGCACTTCGTCCCGGTTTTTGCTGGGGATTCTCGCGACGGCACGCGCGCAAGGGCGATCGACATATTTCGACATGCGCGCGCGAAGCCCGTTTGATAGGTTTTCCCAACCCTCCTTGGTTGGGTATTCGTT